CAAATGGCCGCTAAGCACATAAAAAGATGTTCAGCATTGCTAATCATTAGGGAAACGTAAATCAAAACCACAATGGGATACCAAGTCACCCATTAGGATGGCTATTACAACAACAACAACAACAAAAAACGAACAAAACCAGAAAATACCCAGTGTTGGTAAGGATGTGGAGAAATTGGAACCCTTGTGCATTGCTGGTAGGAATATGAAATGGTGCAGCCACTGCAAAAAATGGTATGGTGGTTCCTCAGAAAAATTAAACACAGGATTGTTATATGTTACAGCTGTTCTATTTCTGGGTATTTACCCAAAAGAATTAAAAGCAGGGACTCGAACAGATATGTGTACACCCCTGGTCATAGCAGCAGTGTCCACAGTAGCCAAAGGTGGAAGCAGCCTAAGTATCTATGGACAGATAAATGGGTAAACAAAATGTGACATATACGTGCAGTGGAATATTATTCTACCTTTAAAAGGATGGAAATTCTGACACATGCTACAAGGATGCAGCTTGAGGACTCACGCTAAGTGAAATAGGCCAGTCACAAAAGGACGCATGGTGTATGATTCCGCCGACGTGAGGTTCCTGGAATAGTCACATAGACAGAAAGCAGGATGGTGGTTACTGGGGCTGGGGGAGGGGAACGGGCTGTAGTCTGTAATGAGGACAGAGTTTCAGCTGAGGAAGATGAAAAGGTTGTGGGGGTGGACGGTGGTGATGGCTGCACAGCAGTGGGAACGCACTTAATGCCCCTGAGCTGCACGTACACGTAAAAATGGTTCAGACGGCAAATGCTACAGTACGTGTTTTTCACCACAACAAAACAAAAGTAACTGGTTTAGGAATTTGGCAAGACCAATACCTGAGAGCCAGGTTCCGCCCCCTCCCTGCACCCACCCCAAATTCTAACAGGCCCAACTGGTGGGAAACAAGCCTCTTCGCCTAAACTGCCTGGCCTGCGTTTCTCTGCTTCCCAACAGCAACGCTTCAGCCCAGGCCTGTCATTCACCTGAAGTGACCACGTTCTGCCAGCTCCTCCTCTCGGGGCACGGGACCCCAGCCCCACTGTTCTTAGAGAAAGCCTGGCGCAGACACCCAATGCCGGCCCCCTGGGCGAGGCACTGCTCTGAACAGCCGGGTGAGAGCCGTGCCCACCTCCCCTCCCCTTGGGCCTCTGCCTTGTCTGAGCCGAAGCAATTGATCCTCCCTGGCATCCAGTGGCATCCGTTGCTGGAACTAACTTACTTCCCTTCCTCCCAGCCCCATCTAATAAGCTTTCTGAGCCCTTCTTGAATCGATACTGGTTTTGAGGAAACAAACTTTTCAGGGATTGAGACTCTCACTTTGCAATGGCCAGAAATGAAAAACAATTGATGTTTTTAAATTCCCAAATTACAGACAGCAAACCCAGTTGTGGGGAATGGCAGGAAGGGGGCTGTGGAGGTTGGGGTCGGTGTAAGTAAACGGGGCCACCCCTCAGGCTTTGAGGACCTGCTTGCCAGCAGGCGGAATGACAGAATGTCACCAAGGCACACGTCATTGCAGCAGTGAGCTCCAAATGGGAGCAGCATGTAGCTCCTCATGGGCAGTTCGGGGACGGTCTGGCTCTGCGTTTCCTGCCCGGAGTGAGTGAGTGCTCCCAGCGGCCCTCTCCCCGACCGTGTGCTGGGCTCCCCCGTAGGTGGTGCTGACCGAGGTGGGGTGGGGGCTCCTGCAAAGCCTCCGTGGCTTTGTTAACGGGCAGTGGCAGGAGAACACCAGGGCTGTCTGCGAAGGCCCAGCGACTCAAATCCAGGCTCTGGGCTGGCGTCAGTCACAGTGTGCATGGCGAGGTCCCGAGTCAGGACACAGGCACAGTTTCGGTGATGACGGTCCTAGCTCTTAGGGGTTTTGCTTGCTGTGTGGAGGAGCCCTGGGCTGGGCACGTTACATCATACTAACTTTCCATCGTGGATTGTGAATATCAGAACCACCTTTGAGGGTGAAAAATTTAGAACCTTTGCCCCGTAGTAGTTTACTAAGGAAACGTATTGGCAAAGCTACTGAGTCAGTGATGCTCTCTTTTAATTCAGTTTGTATTTTGTTCACCCTGTGTGCATTCAGAAGACAGCGGCACATCGGTGACAGACAGGCCATCTACTTAGTTGCTATACCAAGTGGGTGCCCCTAGTGGGAACCACCTTGCATTTCGTGCAGCAGTTACACAAGTAAGCATAGTATCACCATTGTATAAATGAGGAAGTTGAAACGGAGAGAAATGAATAACTTGCCCAAGGTCACCAGCTGTGAAGTGGCTTGGAGCTGGCCCATGGCCCTGAGGACCTGGCCGAGGCCATCTCTTTCTGTGCCACGGTTAGGCGCAGGCCCAGCCTTGAGCGGACGCTCTCCCCTCTCCGACTCCTGTGGCTTGCAGAGGCCAGCTTGCTGCGGGCACGGGCTGCAGGGCAGTTTCTCTGTGTGCCCCAGAGCCCTCTGGAGGAAACCACAGGCTAACAAATGCACCCCAAGCCTGGGACGCCAAGGACTTGGCCTTCATCTCATGGCTGTGGCCGTTTGGTCCCATCGTCTGGAAGCCACAAACCATGTTAGCAGAGGAAACATTCTCTTTCGTGAATTGCAACTTTACACTCATCCGATGAACACAGCAGCAGCACAAGTTAGCTCTCGGAGGAGGAGAACGGCGAGAGGGCAGCTGGAAAGCCCCCGGCTCCTCCTCCTGGACCCCCCACCCTGAGAAGGCCGAGCATTCGGCTCAGCGACAGCCACGGCAAAATCCCGTTCAGTGAGGGCTGTAAACCCAAAGACCTTGGTGCTTGAGATCTCTGACCTTAGGAAGGAAATTCTGGAGAACAAGGGCACGCCTGCCCAGACAGTGGCTGCCCTTCAGCCCCCACCACAGAGCAGGTGTGGGGCTGCACCTGGATGTGGGGGCGTGGGGCTGGGGTGGCCGAGCACCCCCTGTACACCGCGAGCTACACTCCGCTACCTCCCCACCACCGCCTGATCAGATCGGCGCGTGCTGCTAGGGGCCCGTGTTCTGCTAGCCCAGTGGGCTTTGCACCCCCCGCGTGGGAGAAGAGCAGAGAGGCGACCCCACGTGCAGGGTGCCGCAGCCCTGGCTCGGAGACGTCCTGTGACCTCAGTCAGACAGCGAGACAGTGGGCAGTGTTCAACACCCAGCACCCCGACTTTCAGACTAGACTTTTCATACCGGCCCAAGTTCCTCCAGGCAGACAGCATGGCCGCCGTCTCTGGAATGCGCACTCCCTCGCAGGGGCCTTTCTGTGCCGCGAACCTGCGCAGCCCTCACCCCCAGGCTGTCAGTGTCACAGAATACGCTCAGCAAGGGAGGCTCTCCTGAAAGACAGAGCTGCAGCTAGCTAGTGCGCGCTAGCGACATTGCTTAAGGCTGGGAAAGCGGGATGCAAATTAAGAGCCCAGAAGCTTTCCAGACCTGGAGGCGGCAGACACAAATGGTGGCAGGTGTGCAGGTGTTCAGGGGCCCCGGCTTTCGCCTTCCTGTGGGCCCCTCCTCCAGACCCTCCTTTGAAAGGACCCTGCCTTTACTGGACAACTCCCTTTCGTCCACAGCCATGAGAATGCTGGCCGTTTTTCCCTTTGTCCCATATTTTTTTTTTGAGACAGAGTCTCACTTTGTCACCCAGGCTAGAGTACAGCGGCATCATCCTACCTCACTGCAGCCTCAAACTCCTGGGCAACAAGTGATCCTCCTGCCGCAGCCTCCTGAATAGCTGGGACTGCAGGCACATGCCACCACACCCAGCTAACTTTTCTATTTTTTGTAGGGAACAGGGGTGGGGGAGGGTCTCACTCTTGCTCAGGCTGTTCTTGAACTCCTGGCCTCAAGTGATCCTCCCACCTCGGCCTCCCAGAGTGCTGGGATTACAGGTGTGAACTACCAGGCCCAGCTCCATAATGTTTCTAATTAAAAAATATTTAATTGTGGTAAAATACACGTAACATAAAATTTTACTGTTTTAACCACTTTTAAGTTCTGTGGCATTAAATACGTGCACATTGTTGTGCAGTCATCACCGCCATCCATCTCCAGAACTTTCCATCTTCCCAAACCGAACCTCTGCATCCGCGAAACACCAATGGAGCTTTCCACCTCCTCGGGCCTCTGCGGCCACCTGTCTACTTTGTTCTCTGTGAATTTGATCACTCCAGGTACCTCATGTAAGGGGGGTCATACAGTGTTGTCCTTTTGTGTCTGGCTAATTTCACTCAGCACAATGTCCCAGGGTCATCCGTGTTGTGGCATGTGTCGGATTTCCTTCCTTTCCAAGGCTGACTCATGTTCCATTGCACGGATAGACCACAATTTGTTGACCCATTCATCCATCCGTGGATACCGGGGCTGCTTCTGCCGTTTGGCTACTGTGAAAAATGATGCTATGAACGTGGGTTTGGGAATGTCTGTTGGAGTCACTGCTCTCAGTTCTTTGGGCATCCAGCATATCTAGAAGTGGAATTGCTGTATCATAGTAACTCCATGTTTAATTTTTTGAGGAACCACAATACTGTCTTCCATAGCAGATGGACCATTTTACATTTTCACCGGCAATGTGCAAGGATTCCAATTTCTCCACATCCTCACCAACTTGTTATTTTTTGGTTTTTGGACAGTGGCCATCCGATGGGTGTGAAGTGTTGCCGTTCTCTTTGGAATCAAGTGTCCAGCACATATGGTCTGAAAACCTAATAGCATTCTAAAGAGAGCTCGTATCACAGCTGAACTATTTAGGCAGGTCCGTACCGTCAGGCAGACACAGGTGTACACTTGTGTACACACACATGCCCCTCTCTGTGCTCCAGAGCAGGGCTCCAGTTGCCCCCCGGGTGTTCGGGTTATAAGTGACAGTGGCCCGGGTGCCTTGCTCAGTCCCAGCCTGGCGAGACCCACGTGCAGGGAAGCACGCGTACACTGCTCTCGGGGAAAGACAGGGATCTCTGAGTGTGTGTGTCTTGGCTGCAGCACCACGACCACGCCTGCATAGCCTGTCGGATCATCTACCGGTCGGACGAGCACCACCCACCCATCCTGCCCCCGAAGGCTGACCTGACCATCGGCCTGCACGGCGAGTGGGTGAGCCAGCGCTGCGAGGTGCGCCCCGAAGTCCTCTTCCTCACCCGCCACTTCATCTTCCACGACAACAACAACACCTGGGAGGGGCACTACTACCACTACTCGGACCCCGTCTGCAAGCACCCCACCTTCACCATCTACGCCCGAGGCCGCTACAGCCGTGGCGTGCTCTCCTCCAGGGTCATGGGAGGCACAGAGTTCGTGTTCAAAGGTAGGACTCCCGCCGCCAACCCCAGCAGCGGCCAGGGGGCAGCTCTGTGACATTCCCGTGGAGGCAGAGCCTGAGGGAAGGGACCTCTTTTCTGCTTGAGGTGCTGGGGAAGAACTGGAGAGCCGTTCCTGCCTCGAGGCAGTCACGTGCCCCCGAGGTCCTCCCCGCTGGTACCCGACCGGGGTGGACAGCCTCGCCTGCGGCCGGGTGCTGGCGGAGCCCTCCCCGCACGTGAGCAGTTGTCAGGTGCAGCCAAGGAGGACGTTACTGCGAGGGAAATCTCGAGTCTGCGGGTTTCTTCGTTGCACACAACCGTGGCGGATGCCGAGCTGCCCCTCTGATAACAGCACATGGCTTGCGTGCCCCGTGCTTTCTTGAGGTGTTAGTGACAGCTCCAGTGCTTGCAGTTGTCATTTCCAATCCCGAGCTTGCCCTGCGCTTGAGGCGGTGACACACTCCAAGATGGGAGCATCTTTGGGAGGGAAGGGCCAGGCTGCCCACTGAGGAGGGCGGGGACGAGCCACACTGGGCTGTCAGCAAGGGGAGTCTTGTGGTTGCTGTTTTAGAAGTGCTGTTTTTCCTAAGTCTGAGCATCTTTGTATTAGTGACACGGCATCAGCCCTGTCATGCCATATAAAGAAAGATGGCCTCAGTCCTGGTGACTCCTCCAGGGTGGCATTCCATGATGCGGCCCGATTGCCATAGCGTGTTTCTGTAACCAGATGAGTCCTAGAGCATCCCGGCCCTCCTTGCAGGAAGGACGCTTTGCTCCGGGAACACTAGCCCTGTGACAAACTAACAAGAGCAGACACTCTGTATCTGATGCCACCGCAGAGCCCGTCGTGTCATACACGCAATGCGGTCGCCTGGCAAGGCCTTCCAGAGCAATTCTCTACAAGTCCCGGATTTTTATTTAATTCGTTTACTCATATTTTTCTTGCTTGCATCCTAACTTATTTTAGATGCCCGATTGTATGGGCCTGTGTTAATATGTGACAGTGTTAACCAGGAGAGGCGTGTGACACGAAAACTCTTAGAAACCTCAAAGCCTTTTCATAAAAACAAAATTCCAGCCCCTACTGAATATTGTTTTCAATCTTAAAGAGTCAGCGTCACCACGTGCGACTCCTCGAGAGCACTCGGTGCTGTAGTTTCATTCCGCGCTCAGAAGCGCGGCGACCTGTGGTCTGGGCTCGGCGTTTACGCCTGGCAGCGCGCGTGTTCCGGCCACACCTGCCCTGTGTGGGGGTGACCGCCGTGCTCCGCCACGGGCGGGACTCCTCCCACCCGAGAATGCTCTGATGGCTCCTGCGGTCAGGCGCGGGGTCGGTAGGTGGGCTCGTCTTTTGAAGAGAAAGCCTTGTGGAGAGGGAGCGTGGCCTGCGTTTGCCGGGTGGGCGTCTGCCCCCACGCCAGCCCCTCAGTCACCCGCTCTCCTCTCTCCTTTGCAGTGAATCACATGAAGGTCACCCCCATGGATGCGGCCACAGCCTCGCTCCTCAACGTCTTCAACGGGAATGAGTGTGGGGCCGAGGGCTCCTGGCAGGTGGGCGTCCAGCAGGATGTGACGCCCACCAACGGCTGCGTGGCCCTGGGAATCAAACTACCTCACACGGAATACGAGATCTTCAAAATGGAGCAGGACGCCCGGGGCCGCTATCTGCTGTTCAACGGCCAGAGGCCCAGCGACGGCTCCAGCCCCGACAGGCCGGAGAAGAGAGCCACGTCCTACCAGATGCCCCTGGTGCAGTGTGCCTCCTCTTCGCCCAGAGCCGAAGACCTCTCGGAGGACAGCGGAAGCCGCCAGTACGGCCGGGCGCCTGCGTGCGGTCCCCGGGCCCTGCTGCTCGCTGCGCTCGCCTGCCTGCTGACTCTCCCGCGTTGGAACATCCTCAGATAGGAGTTTTTAGAAAGTTACATTTTTTCAAGCCAGGATTCCTTACAACTTACAGATTTTCTTTACCAAAAGAAAGGCCATTTATTGTTTTGATGCACTTGAATGCCTGAGAACTGTCGCTCCCTTTCTCCTCTCCCTCCCTCCCCAGCCCTGAGTCATGAACAGCCAGTGTTTGAAGTTTCCGCTTTGAACTCCGTCCAGCCTGATCCCTGGCCTGAGCGACTTCACAGCAGTAATTGAACTTTAAGACAGCAGAGAGTTTCGGGCTAGCGTGTTTGGTAGCAGGGCTGAGAGCAAGAGCCTCTTATTTTTTTCCTCTTTATTGTATTTCGGAGTTGAACTTAGGAGAAACAAATATCAAGCTACAACTTTTCCTGCCATTTTACTGTGGTTGCATCCTGTCCTCTGAAACTGCTTTACTCTGAGTTGTATATGCTGGGATCGATGCAGAGCTGATCTGGGACTGGGATCCGGACACCTTTTGTTAACAAGCAAGAGACCCGGTGTAGATATGTACATATGAAGACACACGGCTGAACCACCTTTACAACCCTATGCAAAACAGGAGAGAATCAAAGCTTTCATTTCAGAAAGGTCGAGTGGAAAAGTGCCTGTAATTAAAGTTTCAAAGTAATTTAAGCTATTTTTCCAACAGTTGTTTTACCTTATTGAGAGAAGAGATGTTGGTTGCATGCTGGTTTCTGGTGGTGGCAGAAAGCGTGCTGGACCCTCTCCGCAGACGGGGTGACGGGGAAAACGGCAAAGCAACCCTGTTGCAGACACACACGAGCAGGTACACGGGGTGGCTGCTTGCAAGGTGTGAAACGCCACGTGAGCGACAGCGAAAGTGCCCGTTCGTTGCAGTTCCCTCTTCGTAGGGGACCCCAGCCCTGGCTCTCACTGTCTGGTTGGGGGTGGGCAGAGGGAGCTCTATTCCGGCATCTCTGCCACCACGCCCTCGAGACAGAGCGCGCACAGACACAGACAGGGAACACGCACCGAGACAGAGCAGCTGGCTGCTCAGAGAGGGCCCGTGGGGTGTCTGGGCCGGTGCTTGCTCCGCTGGCCCCCGCGCGCCATGTGGCTGAGGCTTTGTGTAAGGCCATCTCATGCCTCGATGTCCTTCCTGCCCATGACGTGGCTCTGTCCCCACAGTGAGTGTCAGGGTCACCCTATGGAGGCCTGCCTCCGTCTTACAGAGACGATAGAGATCCATTCCTTCGGAGTATTGCCAACAGGCTGTCTCACACCCAATGTCATGGCCAAAAGAGAGGAAGGGAAACTGCGAGTACCCGAAAGCCCAGGTGGAGCTAAAAGCAAACATGCAAACGGTGATGGAGGTGAAGAGTCATCCTGGTATTCGGGAATTAACTTTCTGAAGTGCTGTAGCAGTCGGCGCGGTGTTAGGTTACAAGGATGGCATGGAGCACCAAAGCGCTTTGTATTCAGATTGTATTTTAAGTTGTGGTGCTTACTGGGGAGGTGCATTCAAAATGAAAACACCAACTTAATGTCTGCCAAGTTTAATAAACAGGTGTCAAAAATGCTCTCACAAAAGACATTTTATCTACGGGTCTATTTAATTAACACTGACATTACCTTTAAGGGATGTAATAAAATCATGTGAAGAACCATGTTCGCTGCTAGAGAATCCCTCAGTGATTTGCCGTAACTCAGTTACCAGCCACTAGCCAAGACAACTGTGCGTAGTTTTTAAAAGTGTGTTACTGTTACACGCACATGCATGTACCCAAATGTATAGGTACTAACATGTAACAATGTACATGTATGTACATATGTGCTAGAGATGATGTGAAATTCATGTGTCTGTATCACTTTCTGATACAAGATGAATCATTACAGAGAAGGACCAATATAATTTATTCACAAGTCGTGACACACTTAGATTTATGCCTGTCATAGTATCACTCACGTACATTACGTCTTATCCTGGCTCTGTCAACACGTATAAGGATCTCTGACACTAACGTCCCCCGAGTCCCAGGATGATCTTCACCTTACGTGACTCCCCATCACCTTGAAGAAACATCCGTCGATCTCTAAGAGTCATGCTGGTTTGAAAGTCAGAAATTTTAACTCAAGACCGAGACGCTGTCTCTGAGGAAGGTATGATTGACCCTAGAATATTCCGTGACAAGCTTAAAATACTCCATCATATGCAGCCCAGGGCTGGCAAGTCTCCCCCTAAGTTAGAGGCAGGTGGGTCCACTTGGAAATGCCAGGCGTGGGCACGGTGGCGAGTGACAAAAGAGGACCCTCTTGGACCCCAGGCCATGCTGGGACTGGGCCCCCTCTCCCACGGGGTGGCAGGCAAGGAGGGTCAGGCTCAGAGAGTTGTCCTTTGGACAACAGCAAAATTTGGGTATAATCAAACTTCACGCTCTATAAAATCCAAGTTGATCCTGGGCTCAAAAGGGAAATTCCTGGACTCCAGCTCTACTTGGTACACAACAAAAGGTCAGTTTGCTCAGACATGACAAGTCCACTACCATGTGCGACAGCAGTAGCCGGGCCTGTGACCTCCAGGCGGTGGCATCTTAAAGGTCCCCAGCTGGTGTCTGATCCTGTGGCAGCGCCTGAGGGTGACCGAGCCGTGCCCGGGACCCGGGGCCTGTTGGGGAGGCTGGCAGCCCAGCACGTCCCTGCAGGGCCTCGCGGGAACCTGTGAGAGCAACCGCATTGTAAGGCTCTGTGGTTTCTGGGTGAAGGAAAAGCTTCAGTGACAATGGAAGAGCCAGTCTCTACTCTGCCAACTCTTTAAATATATCCTGAAAACAGAGATGACGTCCACACAGTGCACACAAACATTGCAACGTTTTGTTTGAAAATGGTCTCCCCAATCCCTATAAGACACACTAGGATTGTGGCAGCGGGGTACAGAAGCCAGCAGGTGGCACCTAGTTAGGCCCTGCGGGACACTGTCCTCAGGAAAGTGCCCCAGAGCCCGGGGCGAGGTGCTTCGGGGGTGGTGGATACGGAGAGTGGTCCACTCACACGGCTTCCCTGCCCACACAGACCCCTCTGGCCCGGAGACAGCAGCGTTTCACGATTCCAAACATTTTTCATATGGATACATCTGCATCAACAAGAAATAAAGACAGTTTGGATAAATGTTTCCCACTGATTTTCTAGATTTGTGAGAAAATGCATAAGCATTCTTTTCTTACCAGTAAGAGAATCATTATTACATGTCCTGAAAAAACAAGTTGAATTCTTCAATTCCTTATAATGATCCAAGAGTGTTTCTGGCTTGCAGGGTCATCTGTCTCTGAATATAAAATTAGGCTCCATTTTTATCACGATCCCATTTCCCTGGTGTTTCAATAGGCAGAGGTAACACTACCTTGAAAAAATCAGACAAATGTGGCCTCCAACTTCTCCGTTGGCTGAGATGTGATCAAATCGACACATTACACTTAAAACGCTTAATACTCCCCAGTCAGAGGAGACCTGGGGTCGCATGGTTTGCCACCGGAAGCGTGGGGCTGGATGCACACGTGTCTCCTTTACTTAGCTCCCCTTGAAAGACGGTTGCAGTATCTGACTCCCGGCCTCCCATTCCAAGAACAAGGCTGCGGCTTCCATGGGTTCGGTTTGGTCTGTTTCTGACATCTGTTGTATAACCACCTCCATACCCCTCTGAACCCCCCTGAACAATTCCACCCCCTCTTCATTTAATGAATCCCGTGTAACTGTGACTTTGGAACTCAGAAGCATGAGACGGTGTGCGGGCACAGAGAGCTGCGCAATTCGCAGCCTTGGCCTCAAAGCTCTATTGACGATCACACTGGCTCTTGTCTTCCTGACTGGAGGAGCAATTGGCACTTTCGTCAGCCTCTGAGGAATTCTCCAGCCTTTTCATTTTTCATTAATTCGCTTCCTTTCTAGCGAAATTAAAGGCAGAGGAGGATCCTCCAGGAGGTTGGAAATTGTATTCTGCAAGGACTTTAGGCATTTGAGGCCTCGTCTTCTTTCTGCAGCTGATGAGCTGACATATGCAAGATGGTTGAGAAGCTTCGACCTTCAGCTTACTCTAGAATTGGTTGAAGTTTCTAAGGAATTCCCTGCCCTATTCACTTGCCTTATTTTAACAAACATTTTTAACAGCTGGTCAAATTTCTCAGGCAACGTATTCTGGAATGTACAAAACAAACGACTTGTACGTTGATAAATATATATACAACTGAAAAACAAAAAGATCTTTGCCCTGAAAATACATAAAGGTCTAAACTGGTGGTCAGATACTAGTTACTTCTCTTCTTACGTAAATGGCAGAGAACTCTAAAAGAATATTATAACTTTGACCTTCAGAAAATCAAGGTTACAGTAAACAACTGAGGGCCACTATCTACTAAGAGAACTCATATACAGAATGTCTTCCTGTCCCTCTAACTAAAACTGTCCAGGTTCTCACAGGCTAGGACCAGGGTAACACATCTGCCCTGGGATCAGTTTACATACATTGAAAAATTGAGGTATCTGTTGCATGTTGAAGTTTTATGCCTCATCTTACTTGGGACATGAAGCTGTGTTAGATCTAGGTCCCAGCATCACTTGTATAAAAGAAAATAGATTCATAGTATCCTTAACTCACAGCTCATAAGTAGAATACCTTAAAAAGTCCCTTAAAAGAGCCTACAGTATGTCTGAGTTGTAAAGCATATGAGAGTATATTGCATTGTATTAGAAGCTGGCAGCTTGGCAGGGTAAAACAGGGTAGGCAGTTTATGAAAAAGGATTGGAACAAGAAGATAGCTCTCCACCAACATTGCCACCTTGCTATGCCTAGTGCAAAAGGCACCTTAGTGAAACACAGGGCTGGTTCGTCCTAAGAGGCCTTTGCATGGCTTTTGCACAGATTTTAGAATGTATTCTCTTCCTAACATACGGAGAGCATGAAGGTCTCCACAAATACAAAGACCTACTAAAAAGCTATAATATTCTTTATAGAGTTCTCTGCCATTTACATAGGAAGAGAAGCAACTAGTATCTGACCACCAGTTTAGACATTTATTTCAGTGCAAAGATCTTTTTGTTTTTCAGTTGAATATGTATTTATCAATGTTTAAAACAAGTCTTCTACACTACACATTCCAGATTACATTACCCAAGAAATTTGACCAGCTGTTAAAAATGTTTGTTAAAATAAGGCAAGTGAATAGGGCATGGAATTCCTTAGAAACTTCAACCAACTCTAGAGTAAGCTGAGGAGGTATTATTAATCCCATACTATAGATGGTAAACCTGGAGCTCCCCAAGGCTGAGGGTTAGGGAGCCAGAGTTTCTTTCTAGCTCTTCTCCTTTCTTTGTCCCAGAATTTTAGCCTGGCTTTCTCTACAACAGCCACAACCATCACTTCTTGAATGACACTGAATATATGACATTCTACTCGTTCTTTACATAAATTATCTTGTTTAATTTTCACAACACTTAGTATGGTACTTTACAGTTTTGAATTATTACTAAAAAATCTAGTTATGATTTTCAGCATGTTTGCCCTAACTCCCTACAAACACACACCTTTTTATTTGTTTATTTTTTTAAGAAATAGGATCTCACTCTGTAGCCCAGGCTAGAGTACAGTGGCATGATCATAACTCACTGTAATCTCCAACTCCTGGA